AAAAAAAAAAGTCATTGGTATAAATGGAACAAGTTACGTAAAACTTTGTAAACTGTACACGCATAATAAGTGCCCAGTAAAGGTCAGCAGTTTTAGTAGCCATAGCAACAGAAATAATAGTAATAGTAATAACTGGGACTAAAACACTGGTTTTATACTGACTAAGCCAAAATTTTGGGGTGTGCCAGACAACATTTATGTAACTGGCTTGCCATTTGGCTATATTTGGCCCCTGAGTGTGTCTAATTTCACACATACTCTTTGGCCAAAAATAATTCAAATGCCAACATTTATTCACATATATGAAATCACACATACCCGTATGCACATTGAGTGCCAAAAATAAGTACCCAACTAAATGGCAAGCCAGAACAGTTTATACACATGCACACAGCTAAAATATCAATTCATGTAACACTTCTCATTTTTAAGGCACCTTCTAAAGGTTGATGTTCTCGCTGTACCCAGAGAGCAGCATGAGTCTGTGGTCTAATTTGTCTTGTTGCATAGATACCGACAACTTGGGAAACTAAAACTGTAAGAGCCAATAGCTGCACATGAATTTAAAGGTAGCATTTGTATCGCTTAGCTCTTTTCTTATATATCTTACATACACACACACATGTATTTCTAATATCTTTAGTTTAAATGAATGCATTTTTAGTAAAAGAAATTTGAAAAAATGATAAGAAGGAGGTGTTAGAGATAGTACCATCACTAAAATCAACCTGTTTATTTTCTTTCAAATTTCTCCACAATTTTGAGTGCTGCTTTTTAAATTTAACTTCATAGCATTAGCGTTTTATATTATTCACAGCTTTATTGACATAAGGTTAAACAATGATTTTTGGAAGTTGTCTTCCCGTGGTGGATTTTGTTTATGTGGTTTTAGGTTCACTTCAGTTATATTTGGGTCAAAATATCCTATAAGCATGAGCTATCATTAGAAATGTGGAGATTTTAAAAATATATATTTTGTACAATATTTCACACAATGTTAGCTTTAAACTTTTTACAAATTGTGGTGTATACGTATAGACCGTGCAATACTATGCAGCCATAAAAAATGGAGACTTTCCATCTTTTATGTTTACCTACATGGAGCTGGAACATACTCTTCTTGGTAAAGCATCTCAAGAATGAGAAAAAAAAGTATCCAATATACTCAATACTATTATGAACCCAATATATAATCATTAACACATTCATACAAAGGATAAAACACAAATATAGTCCAGAAAGGAGGGGAGAATAGAGGGGAGGATGAGAGGAGAGAGTATTTGGTGGGATCTCACCAAATGTTCACAATGCAATGGTACATTTCAGAACAACTAAGTGTATATTATAAATGTCTTGCCATAAAAAAATAAGTAAGTGAGGTAGTTATGTTAATCAGTTTGATTTATACATTTATATCAAATCATCACATTGTACCCCATGAATATATACATTATTATTTAATAAAAATTAAGTTAAAAAAACATTTTTTGCGGACTTAGATTGTATTATTTCTTAAAGATATGGAATTCAGCATTGTTTTCCCTCTGAAAAACTCACATAATCTCTGATGGTAGATTAAGAAAGACCAATTTCATATGTTGAAACTGTTGAGTAGCTTTCACCTCTTAGGGGCGGGGGGAAAGAAAAGAAAAGAACTATTGATTTTTGTAGCTATTTCTTTGAAATGTCATTTTGGAAATATAAAGCATGTGATATCACACAGATAATAGGGCATATGTCTGCTCTTTCCTTCCATCCACAAAGCTGAGCGTGACAGAGTTAATCTTTCAACATAAGAATATAGACTTGCACAACATCATTAATATCTTTTCTGAATCAGAGATGGATTATCTATGATGTCTAGGTTAGGACTGTATGCAGGCTTATACCTGTGTGCCAATATTCGGGATCTAAAGAGCTTAGCAAGAATTAACCTGCAGTCCAGAATAACCCCGGGAAAATACGTTATGTAGAAATATCAGTCATAAATGTAATTTCAATATTAGCCTTATGCTATAAAGGAGAAATATTGAGTTGTATAAAGTACTTGAACCTTTCAAACCTGAACTTTTATATAAAAATAAGGTTCAGCAATAACAGAAGACCCATTCCAGCGTAGAAAGACCCGGGTCGCAAACCATGGATATGGTTTGATTGTTGGTTTTTCAGAGTTTTTCAGAGTTTGTGTTTTCTATACTAGGTTGTTAAGAAAAAGTTAGGCCAATTTAACTTGGCTGTTGTTACTTTTGTAAAAC